AAACAAAGCAACCACTCTCTTCTAACTACCATAATATTGTTCATCTTTTAGAAACGGCCTAACGACAATAAGAACAGAAGCACATATATATATATAGGTTATTATCAGATTTAGATGCCGCAAAAAAAATTATATTGATAGCAATTTCAGTAGAGACGAATTTCGATTCGATCACTGTAATCAATTGTGGCTAATTTTTTCAAGAAGTGTCTCTATACCGATGCATCATCAGAACTCTCAGAAATCTATATGAGACTAAGCTATATAAGTTGTTTAGATTTATATACAAAAAATACACTTGAGCTGAAGTTTTAGGCTCGCTTTTGGTCTACCTGATATTGAACGAGAGACACCTCCATGCACGAATCCACCCAATGGGAAGCAAAGGGCGTTGTAAACCGAGAATGTGTTGCGTCGGATCATTTCATTTTCGTCTTGAGATGTTCGTTCATAGGTTGAAACTCGATCGATGAAGAACAAGATAATACTAACGAGAACATAGGAAACAATAACACAAATCCATACTTCGCTGGACAGTGGAGACATGAAGAAGAACAATTTCTATTTTCAAAAATAATAGCAAGATATCTTTCGTTGTAATTTGAAAAAACATAATGAGCAACAATACCAATTTCTGTTCATAAGACTTCAGCATTATGATCGAGATGCCAGAGTTCATGAATGGCTGAGTGAAGTCCACTACTTTCTCTCGTGCTGCATTGATAGTGAGCGGCGCTACCGCTAAATCGGCTTCACGATTTATCACAGCTCCCATCATACCGTTCCATACGTCCTTTTCGATTTGATTGCCGTATTTGGTTTCAATGAGAAATTTGTAGGGGATGTTCAGTCTTTCATGACATATAGCATAAGCTAAATCGGCACAATAGCCTGTCACCATCGAGGGATCGAGTATCGTTCCTCGAGTAATGTTCTGTTGCGACAGAGTACCATCGTGATTCTGTTTTAGCATCATAAATGGTGCTTCGAAAATGGTTGTGATTAACCGTGTTCGATTAACAAACAAAATTCCATGATCATTCAATGAATTGTCGGCGATCTAAATTAAAATACAGTTTTGTGCTAATCTGTACTGTGAAACAACTTAATGTCGCCGTCAATGTGATAGGAAATATCGGTATAATCGTTTCAGTATCAAATAGTTATTTGCAAATAGAAGATAAATGAGTGTTTCTTGAATAATTTTTAATAGAAGCAGTGTAAAGACTAGGATTTTCTCTATTAACATAAGGAAAACTCAGTCCTATAAATTTATTTAAAAACTTGATTGATTAGTTATTACTCTGTCAGAAAGAATTTTGTTGAATATTTTTCAAATAATATTTCAGAACCATTTTCAATCTTAAGTTTAACCCCAAGATGATTCTATTTCATAGAAAGCATTGTTCTCTTTTGATGTACACAAGACGGTAACTATAATTTAGTTTTTTGATGAGCTCAAAGCTTTTTCTTGAGAGATCATATTTTGACAATATAGTCTCCGATGGACTTAGAATAGAACAAGATCGAAATGATCACCAACGCTGAATCGAATGGCAATATTCGTGTTCCTCAACAAAACAAGTTAAAGTTAGTGGTCTTATGTACACCGAAAGAGTACAGTGCTCTCTATGGAATATAATCATATTTGGACTAAACATCAAATTGGAAACAGATCTGAAGTGTTATTTGAAAAGTATTTAACAAAGTCCTCTTTGATGGTGAAATCTCTAATAAATTAAGTTTTTAAATATATTTCTAGATCTAGATTTTCCTTTATGAAATAGAAAAAAAAACTCACAAGTCTTTACCTTACTTCTATCGATAATTATTTAAAAAAATACTCATCGCTCTTCTATTTTAAAATAAATAATAGTGCTTCTACATCTGCAGACAGCTACGTTTTATCTCTTTAAGAAAAATTAAACTGACAGCGTATTATAAATTAGATCTGCAGCCAAGATAATTTCAAGAGCGTAGAGTAGTCGAAACATTTTTCCAAAAAAGAGGTACTGTGAGAGCTCTTTTAATCTTCTTTAAAAAAAGGAACGATTCTTGTCATATAAAGCCATTTCGTTTTAGAACTGTGTCGCGCAGCGAAGATATTTTTAACACTTTTTGGCTACAACTTCCACTTTCATTTCATACAGGTGTAATTCTTTGATAAATATTACATTGATATTATTGACTGATAAAAAAGATATGGAATCACAATCATAATGTTAGTTCTACGATAAGATCGATCACTTTCACTAATATAAAAACGATTTGATCTCATGTCAAGTATATATTTTTATATTCACCACGTGCTGATAATCATACACTAACTAAAATAAATAATTGACTTGCTTTCCATGCTATATTTTAGTCAACTAACTGTCGATAATATCAAAGTGATATTGAAGTCTGAAGATAATTGTAAAGATCTCGTCAAAACTGGTAAGATTCTTTAAGGAATCGGCATAGGTTTCTTTCAACAGATCTATCGTACTTACCCCATTTATCGGTAATACATGTAGATTTACTACCAAGACAAAGCCAAAGATGATGACGAACGTAGCAAGAGCCATAGTTTCTACCAAACAAACCTATATGAAATAGATTTCACGCACATCTACATTATTTCTATGTTTATGCTAATCTTGTTCGATTTCGAGCAAAACTAAATCCGAGTATCACACTGTGATTATCTAGATTAGAACTAGAGATATTACTTTATCTTTACTTTATAACATATAAATAAAAGAAAATCTTTATGTCTTTAGTTAATAGAGATAAAATAAATGTTAACGAAAAGTTCGTTTTATAGAAAAAAATGTTTTTTTTTTCAGTGTATAGCTCACTAGGAATTATAATATGTCATTGATAAAAAAAACGATTTTGGAGAGAAGATGCTTACCATAAATATTTTTATGCTTCATCCTCATTTGATAGAAAAGAACTGATCAGTATTTCTTGTTGTTGTATCAAATATTTATCTATTTACTGATTATTGACAAAATCTATCTTTATTCTTTATTTTATAAATAGAAACATTTTTGTTATCTTCATTCTCTTTTATGAAGTAATATAAAAATAAAGTAACACTCCTAATCCGAGCTGAACGATTTCTCTTCTATGAGAGACTTCTTTGTGTAGCTCGTCTCTATGCTCCTTCTAACACGAATAAATATATAAAAACATAAAGAAAACAGCAAAAGGCAAAGAAATCGATAAAAACAGACAAAAAGAGTCAAAGCGATGCGAGAACATGTAAATAACATGTCCGTAACAATCTTCCTTACGGATATAGTTATCAGATCTCTAATACAATAGAAAGAAAAATTACTGAGTAAGGACAATATGAGGAAAACGTTTAGTCTCGAGGAGACAGAAAAATCTCAATGAATAAAAGATTCGAGAATGAGGAAAGAAATTGGTAGAAGAAAATATAGTTTTGCTGAGTAACGATAATGTACGATCAAAATTTCTGTGGTATTGGATTGAGTTGTAGATCATTTGTACTGTTAAAGAGAAGTTTAACATCCAGTCTTTCCTTTGTTCATCTTCTTATTATCGCCCCTTTGTCTCTTTTCTTGTCTTAGGTATTGAATATAAGCTCTCTCTATCTGAAATAAGATATACATCTGTAATCCATCTTACTACAATCATCTAGGTTATGTTTTTTTCCTTTTTCTCTCTATCCTCGCGTGTGTGAGAATATCAATAATTACCAGTCCGTTTACTCTTACTTTGCATGTTTATGCCTGCGCTACTTTTGACTGCTCTCAAATACACGTCTTGTGTATCAGTAGCAAATGTTTTTTTCTGAATACAAAGAAGAGAAAAATATCGTTGACAACATTGTAACAAAAAAAGAAGGATGAAATAGCTCTACCGTTCTATACGGCATTGACGTTGATCGAACTGTTTTCTTCTACATCGTTATGACAAATGGAGAGACCTAGTTTATTATCTCACGACATGATGTTTCATCGACTATGATCTGCATCCTAATGTGATTATTTCACATACAACACTAGTTTATATAGGATTGGGCGTGGGTGCGAATTTTGTTCAAATGAAGACTCAAGTTCTCATCCACACCCACATCACATTCCAACGTCCACTCATGTTCACACCTACACCAAACACTCACACCCTCAATAAGTGAATCCTTTGTGCTTGGCATATAAAGTTTTTATTACATGTGATGACTAACTAAATAATAATCACTGCAAAAAAAGCACCAAGATACGCAAAGCTAATTATGCACTGCTTTTCATCTGGAACGCGTACAATGTCTAATTATCCACTTAGTGCTTAATTTAGAATATAGAACAACAGCGGCTCTGCTGTTGTGAACTTCCGTGAATCAACAGTGTTGTGGAGGATGATGACTTAGCTGCTATGGGGTCCCCTTCGCATCTGGTAGTTGCTACGTGAACTGTTGTGGCTGTAATATCTTACATTTGTTGATGTTGATCTGGAGACGACGTTCCAAATGTCCCCATAGATACTTTGTTTGGTTCTAAAATATGTCACACAATACTGACTCATAGAGAGTATTCGTCAATTGAGCCTTGATCGAACACAACATAAATACACGTTTTCCATACCTGAGAAATGCGTTCGCGAGGATTCTTTAATTGGGATGAGGGTGTGTGTGGGTGTGGGATGTTCTTGTCCTCTTCACCCACACCCACATATTCATCAATACTAGTTAACTGAATGATTGAATTCATAATAAAACACAGAATACAATAATACAAAGCAACAAGCCAAACAAAAATTAGAGCACAAATGCACAAAATAAATGAGACTGATGGCTTTCGTGAAAACTGATTATCTTTTGCAAACAATAAGAGCGTTCACTGGAGATCTTTTTCTTAACTTATTTTTTACTAGTATATGCAGCTAAAATTTAATGACAATCTATCTTGAGGATGTTGGGTATGGATGAGAGAAAGTATATGATCCATCAACACATTCAAACAATATCTACACCCACACATCCACACTCAGACCCAAAACGATGATAAGATCGTATTTTCAATGTGTGCAAGTAAATCAACATATAATTTTTCTGGATTCAATTCATTTATAAATGCTTGTTCAAATTGACGTCGTTGTTCAATATTCATTAACTAAAATAAGTAGAATAGATCTTTTTTTTTTTTGATACAATTAATATTTGGATGTTTTCTTTGATAATACCTGCAGACAATATTCTCGACCAGCAATAAGAAATAAATGATTATCTAATTCTTCAAAGCGAGCACTGGAACGTGATAACGTCAATGAAGACCTAGAAAAGTAAAAGATATACCATATTATATATGAGAATTCATTTTGACATTTCATGGCGAAATTTATTGCTTTTGTATGGATCATTATTCCTTCGGATTGCAAAAAAAGATTTTTTTTTTCATTAATGTTTTATTATTTATCGTTTTCGAAATAAATTTTAATCGTACATGTAAGTCTTGATAATTTTTAAAAAGAAAACTAGGAAGAATATTTAACCATAGGTGGAATAAAAATAGCTCATCCAACATCCGAAATACGACTTCACTTTATTTTACTCATAAGAATAAATTCAGAAAAACTCGTACAATATTAATTCACTATTAAATCATCAATATGAAATCTCAATACAATTTATTTTTCTTGAAAGATTAATATAAAGAACTAAGAAGAAAAATCAGCAAGGATAAATGCTTTAAATAAATACTTACAATGCATCAGCAATTTTATTTGATAGACATGCACTTAACATAAGACAAATTAAGTCCCATATAGCCATACATATTGATTTTCTTTGTGCAATACTTGTGATTGATAATAAAGTCCATTCATTAATTTTAACTGAATAACGTGCATTAATTAAAGCACGAAAAAAAAGCAAAAACTGTATATGCAAGTATTTGACGATATAATTGTTGTGTTAATGCAGCAAATTCTAAAACCATTTTATTCATTGAACGAGGGTGTGGGTGTTGGTAGGTGAAAAGAGAATACCAGTAAACTCACACGCACACGCACACCCACCCCACCCACACCCTTACTCCACCCCGCACCCAATCCACACCCCACCCACACCCACACCCTTCAAAGCACTACTGGATCGTTCGCTCGTCATGACCAAAGAAACTTGCAAGAGCGGCAAACAATCTAAAGAGCGTTTTACCTAATAGAAGATGTGAGTAGCTATGAGTACAGCGTATTAACTATGCGCTGTATACATGCAACAGTTCAGTCAATGCAAAACCTCTACACAATGAACACCTCCTTTAATGAACACTTTGTCGTAGGTCCCGTTGCTATTCATTATAGGAAGGTTTTACTGTATTTTTTCTCGATGGCTGTTTCAGAAAGCGAAGGATAAACGAAACAACAAAAAGGCCATTTTTTTATTTCTCAAACATTTAAGATAAACGTTTTATGTTAAAAGAGATTTCTTATCTCGTTTATGTTTATTTATTGTTCTGTTCTTTGTCCTTGTCAGAGCACCTGCACAAAACTCTAGAAAGTCCAAAGTATAGTTTTACAACCAGGTCAAGCACATCTCTTCTATTTACTACTTTTCAACAATCTTGTTTTATCAGTATCATTGCCTATGCTTCTCCATCTTAATAACTCAAATGAAAGATTAAGTTATACATTTGAATACAAATGTGTGAAACAATGGATGCAAATTCTCAAGAGTGGGGTATAGATGCATTTATTCCCTATTATCGCAACTCGCTTTGCAATTTACAGACAGTTAACAATGATCTATTGGCAACAATTCTTCAGAAGAATCATTCTTGTGCTTTTTTCAAAGATAGATCGATTTTATTCTTGTCAACAAATGATACTGCTGGAGAAGGAGAATATAAATCAGTCGATGAATTTCGAGAAAAAGTTCCATTGACAACATATGAAGACTATCGTGATTATGCAAATCGAATGGTTGTTGATGGAGAAAAGAATCTGCTTTGTATCGAAAATATCCTTTATTTTGCAGCTAGTACCGGAACGACGGGAAAGTTCAAGCTTATTCCTGTAACTCCACCGATGATAAGAACAGCTAATGAAACCGCACACCTAGCATCTTCTGTTATTCGGAAATCGTTTTCTTTTTCATTGTCTTCTTTTCCTGAACAACATCCTTTCACCTTGCTAGGCGGAAAAAACACAGGACTGTATCAAAGATCAAAAGATGGTATTCCAATTGGTCCTTTTAGTCAATATTTTTCGGCTAATCCAACAATTCCTCGAACTCGATCATTGTTATCTATTAATAATACCCTAACATTGAATATTATTGAAGGAATCCATGATTTTGATACAAGTGCATATGTTCAACTCGTTTTTGCATTGGCGATTCCGGATGTTTCCTCCTATACGGTTTATTTTGCGTCAGGATTCATTCATACTATCAAATTAATCGAAAATTATTTTGAAGAAATGAGTCTTTGTATTTCTTCTGCTAATTTCGATCAAAGTTCACTCGTTCAAAAGAATATTGTGGATTCAGACTTTCGAGCAACCTTAAATCAAACATTGAACGAAGTGATTGCTCAATATGGAGGAGAGGTATATCGATTGGAACGAGCTGAACATATTCGATATGAATGTCTCAAAAAAGATGTTTCAGGACTCCTGCATCGTCTTTGGCCAAATATGATTTATGCTTCTACGACTATAGGAAGCACATTTTCAATGTACAAAGAAGTCGTTCAATATTATTGTGGAGAAAGAGTACCTCTGATTAATTTACTTGTCTACGGTGCAAGTGAAAGCTTCTTTGGATGTATTGCAAGTATTCACACTGATGAGTACTTTCTATTACCAACATCCGTATTTTTTGAATTTATCAAAGAAGAAGATATTCAACAAGTAAGTCTCCTGAAATAACTTGTAATCAAACTGCAGATTTAGCATCCAAAAAAACAATTTACCTAGAATTCCGTTAGCTGTAAAATCAATATTGAATACTGACTGTGGTTTAGGAGTTTATTTGGTACTTAATAGCAATTTAATTTTTCAGACCTTGGCTCTCTTGATATCGAAAAACGTTTCTTATCACCTCTGAAAGCTCTGGAAATCAGTTCTAGGATCATTTGACGGGAATTTTTATTCTCCACCATAATCTATAAGAACTTCTTGAACATTTCAATCTTCTTCGAACGATATAGGCCAGATACCGCCCCGATTGAATCAGTTTGCTACAAACACTTGTTTTTTTCAGTCTTATGAAGTTGTATTTTATACAGGTGCACGAACGAGATTTTTTTTTAATGAATGCGTAACTCGTTATGTTCTTTATGATGAAATTATTTTTAGTTGAACATTCGATGTGTGAATGTCGACTCTGTGGTTAAAACCATGTTTTCTAGAGTTTGATATGAGTCGAAATAATTTCGTATTAGCCACTTCAAAGCAAAAGAAATATGTTCTGGATCATAATTCTTTCAATCTGATATAGAGTGTAAACTTATTTATGCATTTACATGTTTCTTTCTCTTTGAGTTGGCTAATATGGTTCTCTTTCGACTCATACCAAAATGTAGAAAACGCAATTTTCAGCCCAGGATCGATCTTTAAATATCGAATTTTAAACTGGATATAATTTCATCAAAAAATAGCACAGTGACCTACATATTTAGTAAAACAATCTTGCTCGTGCATTCATGTAAACTACAACTTCATAAGACAAAAAAAAACTATTCTTTGTAGCAATATGATCTAATTGGATGGTACTTGGTCTATATCGCTAGAAAAACATTGAAATATCCCAGAAGTTGTTACAGATTCTGATAGAAAATAAAAATCTGTGTCAAATGAATTTGTGTGCCGCATCTAAGTTGAATTTTCATCTACTTTCCGATCAAAAACTGAATTTCGGAGCTGGCAAAAAAATGCTTAAGATCTTTTTTTTATTATTGAAGTGCCTTTGAAAAAATGTATCTTTCAAAACCAACATACTCAGCTCTATCGAACCCTATAGACTTCAAATACAACGACGGTAAAAATGTTTTTTGGTGCCTGGGGAACTGCAGACCTCAAAATAATCAGAATTCAATTCTGATTCGAAGGCTAATGAAATTATAGATCAATTTTTTGGGATGCCAAGTTAGTAAATTGACAAATCTTCTTTGACAGTCAAGTCAAATTTTCACTAGTGACTTTTTGTACATGTTTGCAAACAGTATCGATCCAGTTGAGTAATAGAGTCTGCTGTTCAAGTTGAAAGCTAATTTTCTTTTGAAGAATAACAAAGATAATTTTGGGAGCCAGCTTTATGCCTCAAATTACTACGTTTTTTTTTGAAAAACTACGAATGTAATAAGCTACTTTCTATGAACTTCTAAGAACTTCGACTCGTTTTTCACAGCTTTTGCTTACAAACAAACTACGACAATAACTACTTCATAAAAAATATTTCGTATTCAGTTTTGTGTACGAAACAAAATAATTAGTACTAACTAAAACATTCAAAGTGTTTCATAAAGTAGGGCCTATGAGACAATGTGGATTTCCTGAGCTTCTTCAGAAGAAATTTTCTTTTCAATTGAAAAATAACACATATGTTTACACACACAGATGTGTACTCTTTTCAATCATCTACAAAAATTCGAAAATGAAAATTTTACTTAAAGTTCAAATTGTATGATTCTTATGGTGTTCTCTAAACTTTTGGATCGTACTGCGTTCAACCATTTTATTATGTAGTTGCTTTTCTAATTCTTATTCAGGCTCAACCGAAAACTCTTCTTCTCTCAGAGCTTGAACCAGGACATCGATACGAAGTGGTTTGTACAACTGACGGTGGATTAGTTCGATATAGAATGGGAGATGTTATCAATTGCACAAGATTTTTTTCTCGTGCCAATGATTTGGTCCCATTACCAGAAGAACCAGTCGACATTCCTCAAATTCCTCTCATTTCGTTTGCATATCGTGTTGGAAACATTTTAGGTATATTTGGTGAGAAAATAACTGAACAACACATGATGAATGCTCTTCAACAAACAATTCGTCAGTGGAGAGAACAAGGACTACAGGTTGATCTGCATGATTTTACATCGTGTACGAAATTAGATGTATTTCCAGCCAAATTTGTCATCTTTGTGGAATTGACTGAAGATCAAGGATACAAAATTGATGCACAACAACTTCGAATTCTTCAGAATACCGTCAGTGCAGAAGTCGATCAACAACTTCGCAAAACGAACCAAGGTTATACAAATGGTCGAAGTGCAGCAAGGCTTGATTCACTTGATTGTATTTTTGTTCGAACTGGAACATTCTCGACATTTGTGGCTAAATTCTTGATGACCGATCGTACCAGTCCTGTGCAAATCAAACCTCATCGAATACTGAAGAGTGAAGATCACATTCGATTCTTTTATGACAATCAAATTGATATATCATCGTCGTAATTATTATGTATTTTTTTTGTGATGACAGTGACCATTGAAATAATATTCATTTGACATGCAATCTATTTAGTTTTGTGGAACTCACGTATGTTTTCGAAGAAAATAGTGAATGTAAGTTTTCAGTTCGAGGTTGGCGGCTCTCCCTCCTCCCCTCCCTCTCCCACCCCATTACAGACACCTAGCAACGGAAAAGAGAACATTACAGACATACCCCCCATTACAGACCATAGTAACTTCACAAAAAAAGATTCTACTCGAAGTATATAAATAATAAAAGAAAACATTTGCTGACAGTCAATTATCATTAGAAAAGAATTATCGTCTTTGAGAGAATTTAAACATTATATATTTTGCCATCAGCACAGTGAAAGTAAAAAAGATATGTGAGTTCCACATTGCAGCCCCAAAGAGGCTGCGCTAACAAGCTTTTTTTGTTTGATTAACGGCTGTTTTTAATTAATAAATATATGCTTAATCTTTACTCTAATTTCATCAAAATAGAAGAATGCATCGTAATGCGAATGGTCTGGTAATAAGACTAATGAAGTTACCATTTAAGATTTCATAGTTTCTTTCATTGTAATTATTAAAAGATTATAGGTAGAAAATGACTAGGTATGTTTCGGTATTGCTAAGGACACTTTCGCGTAGGGGTGTGGGTGTGGGTGTGGGTGTGTGGGGTGGGTGTGTGTGTGGAGTGTGGGTGTGGGGTGGGTGTGAGTGTGGGTGAGGTGTGTGGGCGAATTTAATATTAACAAACATTTGAGTCTTTTTTTTTCGCATTGAATTCATTTGTCATTTAAAATAAAAAATTTGTTCATTTTTATTTTGAAAATATTTATTAAAACAATTTGTTTGTTTTTCTGAATATTAAATAAAATCAATTTTGATGAAAAAATTTTTATTATATATTCAAACAGTATTATCATTTAAGAATATGAAATTCATTTAAATGTTATTATTTTAAAAGAGTATAAATTATTAATATGCAAATCATATATGAACAACAAAAAAAAGTTCTTTTTATTCTACTATTGACTATTATTATGTTTATCGGTAATATAATATATATATATATATATGTCATTAATCGATCAAAAACAAAAGACTTTTTTTTTCAATAGAAAAAAAGAACAAATATTCACAAATGAAAGGTTTAAAAATAAGCAGTGAAAAAAGATGATTATGAACGTTGATTGTAATGAATTTGTTCATAATGATGTGAAGATATTGAATTATTTTGGGATGACGATATATCATAGAGTTTCGATGTACTATCATTAGTACTTAGTGCACCAGTATAAAGTGATGGTTGTTCAATGAATTTAATTGTTGGTGTCATTTGATTTATTTGCTTTTTTTTATATTTTCGTCTTAAACAAAACCATATTATGAAAATAGTAATTAAGGCAATTAGAATTATTCCACAAATCGAACCAACAATAGGGCCAACTAAATTTGGAGGCGATTGACAATCATCTCCATGACAAGGTTCTAGAAAAGAAAAATTCTTTTTATGTAAAATAGAAAAAGTGATAGATAACCTCTTGGTCTTTCAGTTGATTTTGATGTTATTGGTGGTTTATCTTGACTTTGAATATATTCACCTTTTATTTAAAAAAAAAAACAAAAAAAGAATTGTGATTTATTTTTTTTAATGATCTTACCAAGAATATTAACAATAATCAATATCAGAATACCAATATATGACATAAACATGGTAAAACTATATATTTATAAAATATAAATGTATAAAAAAAGTAAGCAACTTCTATTCATATAAATATCATCGATTATCGATCAATCTTATACCTTTATTTTACTTCTTTTTTTTTTCTCTATTTTCTTCTTATAATATACATGTATATGTTGATTCAAAAATACATTAGTTTTCCTATAGAATATAATCTTGTATATGTTACCTGAAAGAACGAATAGCAATTATCGGAATAATATCGTTGTTTGACAATTCTATGTCAAACATATACTTTATAAACAATATTTTGATTTAGTCTTCTATGAAGTTTGTCACCTTTTTTCAAATCAAAACAAGTAAAGTAATAGATTAAAATAACAACACTCAATAAACAATGAACAGTAGTCAATTTTAGAAATATTTCGTTGTTATTTATCCAAGCACAAATGACATATTATAAGAAACATAAATCAATAAAAGAAAATTGTTTATGAATATTTGAATTTCTAACTGTTCTTGAAGAACTTGTGAATCTATAACGAAATTCTAATATTTATTATTTCAACAATTTCTTCAACATAGAATAATTGTGTCAAACTTAAAAGTGAAATTCAATTGTTAAAACTCTTTTCAGATATGTTGATACTAATCGTCCTTTGTTTTTGTTTGTGCACCTTTATATCGAGAGAATTTCTTTATGTGTATACTTTTTATCGTCATAATTTGAATAACTAAACTCAATAATTAAATATTCAAATTTGAAATATTTAATTACAGAATTCAATCTTCATGGTTGACGACAGAGTTGGAACCGATCTGGCAATCCGGCTCCGGTCCGGCCGGACCGGACAAGACCGGACAAGAAGTTAAACCGGGCCGGACAGAACCGGATTTTTGCCAGTTCATCATTACAAAATTGTTGTTTGCATCCAAGAATTTTCTCTACTGAAAATGGTTTTTTTATGATATTTTCAAGTCAGAAGAATGTGTTTGCGAAAGACTTAATAGATATCTTGTCTTCGACTTGACTATAGACGATTGATTGTTCTCTTTATATCTCTATTGATTTGGGTGGGGTGTGGGGTGTGGGTGTGAGTATGATATTCTTTATATACACCCACACCCACACCCTCACCCACGCCCTCACTCACACCCACACCCACACCCTCACTCACGCCCACACCCACACCCTCACACCCCACCCCCACCCCCACACCCGCACCCACACCAACACCCACACTCACACCCACATCCCACCCACACCCTTTTTCTCAGTAAGGAATAACAAGTATCTATTGATTGATCATGACAATAATAATATAAGTTCTATTCGATTTCTTGAAGAAAATACATAGAAAAAAAAATGATTTTGCTTTTCGCATATTGACAATATGATTCAGGAAGAAAATTGAACGATGTATGATTTCATATTATAAATATTACTAATAAACTGGATAGTTTCTGTTTCTATAATCTTGTATATCACAATATTGGTCAGTTAAATTATGATAGCATAAAAAAATAAAATTATTCTCTTTATGAATTTGATATTTGTATGAATCTATTTCATTTATACTTTTAAGACAATAGCATCATTCCATTAAAGTTTTTCTTATTTTCCTTTATGATCCAATCGATATACTCTTCAAGTTCTTGGCATTAAAATATAACATAGAATAATCTTGCTTTAGATTTTAATGCTATATATCGATGAAAAGTTGTAATGAAATAGAAAAGAAAATGCATGATATCTAATTTCTCGTTCTATCAAACTTTTTCTTGTACTCTGAAAGAACTTTCAACTGGAAAAATATTAACGTCTCTTTGCTTCTAAATGGATTCGAACATTGTTTACGATAGAAGTAATGATTGAAAAAATCATAAACTTTTTGATCTTCCTGATACGCTTCATCTTCAATATGACAGTGGAGCTAATCGAAATCAATGACATTGATTCAGCGTCTCTATTGGTTTGTTATGGTAAGGGCATCAACTTATCAGTATAAAATGCGTTTGATGGTTATGATCCTGTTGACTATGTTGTTTATCAGTCAATTATTAAATATACTTGTTACTCGTTGGAACTTTTGACAATCATTACAATGTTTGTTTTTCTATGTTGTTATTCTCTGTTCATACAGAATAGTGATAAGATAATTTTGAATCTTTGTTGACTTTATTGATATTTATTCAAATTAAATGGAAATTTGACATTTTTAAAATGAAAGAATATCAAATATATTATGTGAAATTTGAAATTGAACAGTAAGTTTTTTTCTTTCGTTCAAATTGAGAAATGACATTCTATTTTGGTCTTTAGTCCAATACAGTTAAGTAGCTTTATCGCATTTTATTTTATAGTGGCAAATACGATAAAAATATACGCTAAGTAGTGTGTTTTTATCGAACATTTATTTCGATTAGTTTGATACTTGTCATTCTTCGACATGTAATGTCAAATATTTAAGTTATTTTTTTCAACATGATGCAATCTATGTATAACACATATATACAGTTCCATGCAAGCATAGATTGAGATTATTTTTTTTCACGATTCTTTGCTCGTTTCTCAATGAAAGAAGCGAGCACATCACATCTTTTTTCAGATAAATCTTAATTTTACTATTTGCAAAGTCTACGGTTCCATCTTTCCATATTTTAACTCCTACTAAAATAGTTGATATTGAAACGCACATGTCATTTATTCAATCACAAAACGGAAATTTTCTTGTTATCAATACAATTGAACTCAATGATTGTCTTTGACAAGAAATTAATCATTTAACAGATGATGGAGATAATATTGAAGCCGTAGTAGGCAAACATCCATTTCATATTTTATCATTCAAGACTTTCTATAAATCATATCCATATGCATCTTATTATGAAACACCATGAGATTTACATCGATTAACAAAAATTCCATGGATTAGAAGTCTTGACGATTGTCATTTGAGAAAATAATGAGAATCATAAGTAGAATTACGTATTCCGGCAGATCAGTCACATACAATCCATATCAAAGATCATAGTCGAAATTAATACATTTGAAATATTCATAGTTAATCAATGCCTAATAAAAAGATATGTTGTTTTCTCTTTTCTCTAGCCGTCGAATTTCTCAATTCAGAGTGTGAGTGTTATTGAAGAGAAGAATTAAATCCACACCCACACCCACTCTGCTTACCCAAGCTATTTTCAACTTATGAAAAAAAACTTTGGTATTAAAGAAAAATTAGACAGTTCATACAGCCTACCTAGTCTGTTGTAAGGTCTGCTTGGACTGCTATCACAGACTATACATAAAAAATGTGGCTTGTACTTGTTACATGCAGGCAGGCTTAGGAGCTTGTTTGGGACTCTGATATATGTATAATCAGATTGTAACAATATCCACAGATAACCCAAGTGAGCAAAAAATGAGTGAAGACGGCCGACATGACTAGTCTGAAATGTCCGTAATATCTGTCATGTCTAGTCTAAAACGTCTTACACACTCGTCATGACTAGTCACCTTTAGGAGAAATGTCCTTTAACCACGTCTGGACTAGTCCAGAAAGTCCTCGAATCCCATCATGTCTAGTCCTTTTTGTCTATCTATCCCGTTCAGACTAGTCCGTAGAACAGAAAAATAATAAAAAAAAGGAGACGAAAGGTGGATTCGAACATTCGACCCAACAGTATTTAATATCTGACGGGTGTCCTGACGGCAGATCATGACTTAGCGATAGACTGAGGTCAGTTTTAACAGTCTGAGTAGCAAAGTGACGCGCGTCCATCTGCTAGGCGATTTGAAATCCATCGGAGACGAGCGACTTGACTAGTGTGAAATGTCTTCAAGGGTGGTCAGGACTAGTCTGAAGTGTCATCTATACACATCAAGACTAGTCCGTTTTCTTTGAGAATGCTATGTTAATTCTTGGTCACACTAGTCTAAGAACTTCAGTTAACTTATTTTGTTTGGGCTAAACTGTCCTGCTACTTCGTTGAAACTAATTCATAATGGAAAGAAAAAAAGAAGCAGAATGCAAGACAAAGAATTTGTCAATATCTCTATTATGGCTAAAAACAACCGATGAATAATTAGACGTATCCAGAATATGGTCCAGATATGAGAATAAGAAACATTTTCCCGCCTATCTTCTATTAAGAACTCCATGATTGTTAGTTAATTATGGTTTGTCATATTACGATTACGAAAAATTAATGGCAAGTATTAAATTTTTATTAATATATATGTAGACCGGCACCTGAGTTATTGATTTCCTTTCTAATTAGGGTGGCGATTAGAAAGTCCTCCAAAATCACTACTAAAGTGAAGGATAGACAGAATATTCTGTGCATCCGTATTTTAATAAAACTCATCATTTTTTATAGTTTCGTATGTAAAAAATGTAAAAGTATATCGAAGCATAAAATAGTAGAAGTAAATACAAAATACAATGTTTATCGCGTAGCAAGAAGTTCCAATTTATGTAGTTTAAAATTTATTAAATGTGCAAAATAAATTAAAATTAATTTAATTTGAAGATAGTTTAAATATTTTGTGCCACAATTTTATTTTATTTTATTTAAAATATAAATTCGGATTTAAATTTAAGAATGTACAGGGTGTTGCAAAACCTTTTTCTCCCCCTGGTTCGACCTTAAGGTAAAATGATTTCACTAAGTATTTTATACCAAATTGAAGCCCGTAAAAAGCTGCATTTATTGGTACTAAATAGTAAAGGTTTATAAAGACCTTTTAATATCGAAGTTCCGAGATTTTCAGAAATTTGATACCTTTTGTTGGTGTAGAAAAGTATGGTGCCAGTAATTCAAATACGAAATAAAACATTTTTCTTACAATGGAGGTATGTGTATTGATGAGCGAAAAAGTGGCACATGTTCGGGTCAAATGAAAGCTCTCAACGCCAAACTAACAAGGTTAAAATATTAGCGGCTGTTGGCTTGCCTAGAGGGAGATATTTAACTTTTAAGTGTAGGTGTAAAAATGAATTAGGAAAGGTTTTCTCCGCTATTA